TGTCACTATCAATATTTTAGATTATAATCAATAAATGTCATCGAAACGATCTGCTGGATCAATTTTTGAATAGTTAACAAAAAAAGACAAGATGTTAAAAACTCTTGCAAAACTAAACATTTTCTTACGTGAACATCGATCTGCTCTTTGTCCAGGTAATATATAGAAAAACTTTGCTTTGAATAATAAATAAACACCTGCTGAGTTTCATCTCATTTAAAAAAATTTCATTGCTTCGAGCTCAAAGTTGTCAGATGCAATTACAAAAAAAAAGGAAAATCCTTTCTCATTATAGCTTATATCAATCTTATCTGATCTATTTAGTATTATGTAATTGAAACTTTTCATAATAACAAAACTAGAACAAACTCTGAGTTCAATTCTATCATATAGCATCATAGAATGTATATGGGCGTGTACACATTGATCGCTTGATTATATGATTCAATCAACTAAATGATAGAAACTTGACGTTATTTACTTGTCCAAAAATAACTTTTCTTCTATTACTAGTACTATTTAAAATTATACGAAACATGAACAGTTAATCAGTTGAAGACTGATGTGAGATACTCTCGATGACCAGCATAAGTGATTGGAGCAGATTAATACTTAGTAATATTTTTTTACGCTTTAGGGGTACTTAAGACGTTCATCATACAGAACTGTCAAGTCTAATCTTTTTTTTCTCAAAAAATCTTCGTACATAACAAATCAATATTTCATAATCTCCTTAATAATTTTAAATGGTCTTTTCTTTTTTGCAGGGACAGATTAGGCGTAATGGATAGGATGACGCTCCTTCATTATGATCAGAATGTAGCTGTGAACTTGGAACGATTTTCGAATAGTCATGCAAAAGGACTTTAAAGAAAAAGATAGGGTAAGGATGTGCCGTCATGACTAGAAAAAAAAAACGAAAAAGACTTGTCTCTTTTATTCATTCTTTACTCACCTAAGTAAATAAGAGAATAAAAATCCTAGAAATAACAATTCTAAATATGGTGTTTATTAATGTTTATTAAAACAAAAAAACAATTGAAAACATTAACAATGACAGATAAGAAGTATTTAATTGATATTTATTACTATATTTCTTTCAAATATTTTTTTGCTTATAATGTAACAAATTGGTATTATTTTGTCATTTATTTGATGTAGTAAGATGTAAATCTAGTAATGACCAAGTTTTTCAATGATTAATTATATTGCTAATGAAAAAACAATTGTTTGAATATGAATCATTATTTTGTAGATTGGAAGAAAATACAGAGAAAGAATAAAAAGTACGATGATGACCGTATTTTCTTTTACATATACAAGATGGCTATCAATATAATCATTGATGGCTGAGTTTGTCTGTTTACATATTTGCAATTTCTAGAGAAAAAAAAGACAGCTAAAACCTTACAATCCAAGTTCGTAGAAAATCACTCATTTTTTTCTTCTTCAGAATCCTTACTTCATGTCCTTTATCGTTTAATTTCATCAATATGATTCTATCACATTCTATAATAATAGCAACTCAAGTCTCTCTACTCGATCAATCAATATGGAACTTTTTTTCTTTATTTTCCTAACAGATTTGCTTTCTTGCTCTTCGTGCATTCTAATGCGATTAAAGATGTGACCATTTATACGAATGCATATATTTGTAGTATATCGTCATTCAATGATTACTATGCTTTACTAGTAATAACTGCCATGAAATGAATATAGCGATAAGACGAAGAAAAAAGGACGACGATGCTATAAAGATGACTTTTTTATTGATGATTAATGAACAAAATAAGAAACTGAATCTACAAGCTTTCGCTACAACTATCAAATGATGATAATCAAAAAGTAATTATGAGAGGTAGATTCTCGGATGAAATCAACAATAATTCAAAAATATAGATATGATAATTTGCATAACAATAAGTATTTCGAATGTGTATTATATTCATTCCATTTTATTTGTTTTTACTAATAGAAGCAAACAATTTTTTTTCTAGTGTTGCATGTCATTATTATTCTTTCTGTCACGTAATGAAAAGTAAGTATGCCATTTTTTTTAATTTCTGTTTTTTCTACTTTTTTTTTCATTTTTTTATTTATGTTATCATGATTATTTCTGCATACGATAAATTTGTTTTTTTACTTCTTTCGTTTTCTTATGCTGCTGTCGGTAGTTTTTTTTTGTCAGGTATTTGAAATATTTATTTCTTTTTCATTCAAAACATATCAATGTATTTTTACTCATACATTGCATAAAATCGAAGCATTTTCAGACAAGAAACATTCTGTGTGGATTTTCTAATTAGATTAGGCAACAAAAATGTATTTACAATTTTATTTTTTCAACAGGAAATAAATTCTTAAGTAGCTTAGCGTCATTTTATAAAAAATTACCTCAGGAAAGAATGATGATAGAATATTATTTTATCTGTTTCATTTCCTGAAATAGTGAGATATGCATATAAAACTCTGTTTATGAATTATATTAACTAAAAAAATGAAAAGACTTCGTTAAAACAAAATCAAGTTTACCATAGTATCTTATTGATAAAAATAAATGCAACAGTAGACATTTTGTCTTAGTAATCACTTTCTACTTTCATCATTGTTTTTACTCTAACTGTTGCATGACTGATCGTAGAGACATGATAGTGACACGTATTTAGCATACAGACATTCATGCATTAGAGTAGGGTGTCACTTTGCAGAGTTATTCATGTATGGGCATGCACCATATGGCGAACTGTTTTTCCTGAATCGTTTTACATAACAGCATTTTTCATGTGTTTGTATGACTGAGTAACAATACGAAAGAGAAATGAAGTAGTCACAAAGAAATCCGTTTCTATTAATATTTAAACGTTGAAAACTTATTATTAAACAAGAAACCTTTCATGTTGTTATATATAATACTATCTTTTAGTCTTCATACATGCTTAAACTAACGAAGCAGAAAAACTAAATAAAGTATACACTTATTGTATGAATATATTCTGAAAATGTAAGTAATTTTACTTTCTTGAATACTTGTTTATTATTCTCGTATTCTTCTTATGCATATTCTATGGGTTTTTTTGTTTGTCAAGTCTAAATTTACTTCATTAATATTTAAGAAATTTCTTTGATATTTATTTTATATGATAACAATACAAAATAACACAATCTGATGAAAGAAAATCTTTTTTTCCTAGAAATAGAATGGCAATTAGAAGAATTAAAGTATTAATAAGGTCGATTTTAGTGAAGAAGGAAGGAAAACGGAATCAAGATTATGTTTTTCTGTCTTGAATCATCTAACTGAATAATTTAATTTCATTAGTTTTTAAGTACGTTATAAAACATTGAAAAGCAAAAAAACAAATTTCACTAAATAGATTATGATGCAGCATTTTATCTGTCTATTTATTTCGACAGTTAGCATTCTATTCCTAGTTTTTCTTTATTATTTCATATAGATATATTAAGGTCAAATTCAGGACTCTTCAAAACAAAATAAAAATCTGTCGTTTTGTCCGAACGAAATTAAAATTAAACTAGAAATATATTGATCAAATCGACAAAACTTTTTTCATTACACAAAATATCATTATTATCGAATAAGATATAGTTCATATAGTTTTCGCCTATTGACCCATATTCTAATATGATCATAGTTTAGAATGACATATAGTTGAACATAAAAACTTCTCTTTTCTTTGCATGAACATTATTTTATGACATATGTCCCATTAGAGTCACTTGTGCATCTATTTGTCAATCCACAAACATATACATACAGAAAGTTTACACACTTCTTTTCATTGTAATATGTCTTGAATTATTGGTTACAATACATCTTAATTTTTTTGAACAAACTCATTTTAAATCAACTAAATATTGAACGATACAAATATTTTCTATAATTTATTATTTTGATAAACTAATTTTGTATAGATGTTTGATAAAAACGATAATATGTGAAATGAAAAAAAAAATAAATCCATTGTTCATTCAAACTCTAACTATCTTCGACGTGATCAATTAATTGCTAGTATGCATTATAATTGTATCCGAACAAAATTGGAATTTAACAAAGGTTCAATTGTAAACCTAACATAGATATATAAATGAGATTTTTAAACAAGAAATAAATGAACTAAAAATATCAAGTGACTTCGGAAATGAGAGAAAAATATAAGAATATGGTATAAAGCTTGTCAACCTATGTTCTTATTCCCTAGCGTCAAATCTTTTCTTATACTTATTTACGATCAGTTACATTTGTAGTTCTTCTCTGTCGTTATTTTTCCATCTCTTTGTTGGTGTCTTTCATTCTAATGTCATCTTTTAGATGACACAATGACGACATAATAGTATCAAAAAAAAAAAAGAAAAACAATAGAATAATGATGATCATGATGATGAAGCTAAGGCAGACTATTGGTTTCGTCCGGACCTATTTTGTCTTAGTAAACTTATTCTCTTTTTCTTTCTTTTCTTTTTTTTTTTTTTGAGAATAGTAAGTAATGTTGTTTCTTGTTTTAGTACTCTTATGCTGCTACTTATATTTTCAAGAAATATATTTCATTGTGCCACCTGTTACACCGATGAATGATCCTTTTTACAATTTATTTCGTAAGGAGCGAGAAAGCAAGAAGGTACTTTCCTGTGTATCTTCCTCATATGCATGTTAGCATGAATGTAAATTATATGTCAGATGAATTGAAATGAGATAATCAGCTAATGATTGACATTTATTTAGATAGCTAGTATTTCTAATGCTGATAAGTTGTTATTATCAAAATAATAAGAAACCGAAAAACATATATATCATCATTATTTTTTTACTTTTAATTTCTTTTGTTTTTAATTTTATTTTAGTATATTCATATGAATTTTATTTATCATTGTTGGTTTATAAATGAAAATAATTGTATATTAAATTAAATATTATTATTTTTTATTCTTATAACTCATTCAGATATCTGAATGATAACAACACAAGAAACAAATATTGATAAATGAGTATGAATGATAGCACACAAAGTTCATTGACGGATGGAAATACATCGACAATATTTGTCGAAAAATTATTTCAAAAAATAATACTTGGTTGTTTCCTTTCTAGTTTATCAATATTTACTGTTTGCGGAAATATTTTAGTATTATATGCTATACAAACAGAAAAAAATTTACGAACAGTATCAAATTTATTTATTCTTAGTTTAGCATTAGCTGATTTAGCTGTTGGTCTATTTGTTATGCCTTTAAGTGCAGCTCAAATAATTGCTGGTCGATGGCCATTTTCATCTGTTATATGTAAAATGTGGTTATCCATTGATTATGTTGCGAGGTATATTGAAAAAAATATTTAACGAGACATGTTTCTATAGATATAGAAACAACAAAAAAAAAAAAGAATTATTCATGCAGATTCGATTAAAAGAAAGAGAAGATTTTCTATAACATTAAACATAAAAATTCATTGAAATAAAACTAATTGTTTTTTACTTTTATTTTTATAGTACGGCCAGTATATTTAATCTTGTTCTACTCAGTCTTGATCGTTATTGGGCTGTTGTTTATCCTTTACGTTATCTACGAAAACGTACACGTCGACGAGCAACAGTATTTATTCTTATTGTTTGGTTTATAGCGTCATTATGGGCTCCGGCTATTATATTTTGGTCATATATTGCTCCTCAACATAGTGATACAATTAAACAAAATGAATGTGACACATCATTTCGTTCGAATAAAACATTTAAAACATTGACAGCTTTAGTTAATTTTTATTTTCCATTATTAACTATGATTATTGTATCATGTCGTATAATGGTTGCTATACGTTCACGTTCTCAAATGGAATATGGTCGACGATTATCATCAACAACACAAAAACAAATGAAACTAGATCGTACTTTTAAAACATCAATACGTGATGAAAATCAAACTAATTTCAAATTCAATAATACTTCTAGACCTTTATTACCACCAAGAATTGTTACTAACCCACTCGATTCATCTATTCCAGATTATCAACCCATATCTAATAATATTAATGATAATATAACACCGACGATTGAGCCTGGTCAATGTTTTTGTTCCACATGTCAACCATCTAATGAAAATGATAATGAGAGTCTTTGGGAAGTACAACAAAGTCCAATAAAAAAGTCTAATTTATCACAAACAAAACATTTTTCATTTGCTCAAATAAAACCTCTATCAAGAATATTTTCACCAAAAAAACTTACAGAAGAAAATACAATACGTAAAAGTCTAGAAGCATATAAAACTACATATGATAATGATAATATAAAAATAAGAAATTCTTTCAGTGAATCAAATAATATGAAATATTCAATGATTATTTATTCAAATGAACATTCACAAAAACATTTATCACCAGTTTTAGAAAAAGCATCAATTAAACAATCAACATCATCGTTAAATAAAATACCAATTAAACAATCAAAATCAAGAACAGTGTCAATAACATCAAGTTTTTCGGATGAATGTGTTGAACCAATATTTTTTCATTCAACAGAAGATCAACAAAAATCAAAATCAATAGAAAATATGACTATGTAAGTGTGAAGATAAAAAATAAATTAGTTTCAAAGACATATTTTTTTTTTCGATTATTTAGACAACAACCAACAATATCTAATCAATCACAACCAATAAATTCATCTCCAAAACTAGCAAAAACAGTAACAGCAGCAGCAGGAGCAGCAGGAAATGATTCAATAATGACAAACAGACATGATTCATCAGCATATTCCTCTACCCATAATACACCCAAAATGAGTTTCTCTTTTTTCCATACACTTATTAATCCAAGTCATTCCAAGTCATTACAAAAAGAACTTAAAGCAGCTAGGCAATTGGGAATGCTTGTTGGTGTATTTACTGTTTCATGGTTACCATATTTTATTTTATTTTTAGTTGTTGCTTGGTGTAATCATTGTGTATCGGATACTATATTTGTAGCATCAATATGGCTTGGTTATCTCAATTCAACATTTAATCCATTAATATATCCTCTATGTAATGCACATTTTCGTCGTGCCTTTCAAAAAATTTGTTATTGTAAACATGAAAAAACAAAATTACCTAATTTAAATGCTTTACGTGAACTTCAAGTATTACATGGGATGAGACAACGACGATAAAATCTAGCATCCTTTTATGCTTTTTTGTTTTCTTCTTGTTTTGTTATTAATATTTTACATATTCTTTGAATATATCACATTTTCTTTTGCTCTCGTTCGCTTTTTTTTTAATGCTACATGTGATTTTTATTCGAAAAAAAGACAGTTTCATGTTGCACTAGAGAATTATATACTAGTAATTATTCGGAAACATGAAACCAATATTAACTATGATTGAAATCTGTAATCATGATGTGAAATTCTAGAGAATAAATGAGGTTAACATTAACCTATACTTTAATTTTTCAAAATAGATTGTATTCAATGATAGTTATATAAAAGATAAAAATTTTGTCAACCGAAATAATCATTTCATGCATCAACAAACTACATTGATCTCAAAAAAAATTGAAGGAATAATCAACTTTGATATGAAACATTAATACTTCAACGTTAGATGCATTTATTTATGTATATGGTAATGAGTTTTGACAGCATCTTCCCCTTGATTTAATAAATGAATAAAAAACAAAAAAAAAACAGACTCCTATATATTGCATGATGTACTAAATCAGAATTAATTTGATTAAAACAATAGATATTATTTTTTTTCTTGTTTAATTATTGATAAATGCTTTTTTTGTCTTAATTTTAACTTAATTATTGAATGAAAATAAAGACTAATGATCAATTAATAATAGCTTATTTCTAATATAAAATAATTAAATTTTTGTTTTCTTTTAATAGTTGTAATAAATAAAATTATTCATCATCATCAATTTGTACAAGTTTCATTATAACTAATAAGGACAGCTTTCAAAATAGGATATATATATATACAGGTGTTTGCAAAAAAACTTGAAAACCTTCTTCCACTATATATCGCCTTCTATAACAGTACTCTTCGAACTATTTTATATTGTGGTAGGTAGTCCACGAAGAGTACTACACAACAGTATAATTTCATATTCTCTTTGTTCACTTCTAGAAGTATCGAAGAGGAAAAAATCACGGTTCTATATATATAGCGTGTAGTAAATCTATCGAGGGTTTACCTCTCGAAAAATGGCTTTTATAATTATTTATAACAATAGAGAAAAAGGTTTTAAGAAAAAAAAAAAATTTTCCAAGTATTTTTGCAGACACCTGTATATATATTTATGATGCAGTAGAAGTGTAAGAAAACGTCTAACGTTGTTTTTGTTTTTAACGTTACAAAACAGTGAGATACTTGAACTCTCATAGTGAGTACGCAAAAAATATGATATTAAATTGACGATTTGAATATGATTATTATAGATTTGTTAATTTGAAGTAATATAATAAAAACTGAATTAGTTTTCTATATGAGTTCAATGAAATGGAAATGCTTTCATTGTTATTTAACAATAGTTACAATTCCTGAGTAGAAATATTCTATTAATAGAAAATTGAAAAATTCATTTAATGTAGTCTTTAATGAGTACATGAATATATAGCATGATCTTTCTTTTTTTTCAAGATCATCTATACCATAGACTTCCGTGCTGTTCCTTCTATACCATAGACTTCCGTGCTGTTCCTTCTATTCAATTTTTGCATGAATTATTAGCCTTATGATGAGATTTATATAATATAAATTATGCAATCAAATCCTACAAATTGATTCATAAGCAGTTTTACGATAAAAAATTTGAATATTTTCACTCTACAGGATGTTTCAAAAGTCTGAACAAAAAGGGATTTGAATACTTTTTTTTACAGTTTGATCATATATTCATTAGAATAAATTTTAGATAGAATACTTGTACCTGAAAAGTCAGAATTAAAATAGTTTTATTTATGATCAAATTCAAATAAACCAACGTTATAAAGTGGTACTTAGAAATTGAATTTGGAAAAAATACGTCAACTAAACATTGCATTGGCTATAGCTTCTAACGATTTTGTGAAAACAGTATTGTTGAAGATCGGTGATCATAGAGTAATCATTTTAAAAAAAGTCAATGAAGTTAATGATGCTTGTAGAAATGAACCAGCATCAAGTGTTCGGTCTATATAACTCTTTTTCGTAGCAGTACCTTGTATAGCTTTAATAAGAGATGCTTCTTCATAATTTCGTTTGTTGTTCTTTAGGATAATGAGCAAGCTTGTGCAATAGACTGAATAATAGATCCTGGTTCATTTTCACAAATATCTTTAACTTCATTGACTTTTTCTTCAGTGATTGCTCTAAGTCTTCTAAAATGTGATCAATTTTTGACAATATCAGTTTCACAAAATCGCTTAAATATGATTCAGTTAGCGTGTTTGCACCGAATTTGACTTGCAGCGGTTGTTTTTATAAATATTTTATCTGAAAATTTTAATGCATATATGATCAAACTGTAACAAAAAACTATTTAAATTTCTTGGATTGCTGAGGAACTATTCATATTTATTTCCTTCGTTCAGGCTTTTGGAACATCTTGTATGAGCCTAATTTTTTTTCATGATAAAGGATGCTTCAAAGTTTTTTTTTTTCCAAAAGAACAACATTTATAAATATTGTTTTGAAGTATCATTTTTGGTTTCAATAATGAATTTCGATCTTTTATAGTATTGAAGAAGGCCCTAACAGATCCATGTGTATGTACATTTGTTTATCCGATTATGTGTTTCGTTTTGCAATGCTTGGTTGTTTTTTTTCTTTCGTCGTCGATATAAATGTCTGTCTTTTCTTAAGTACAATGAAGTAAAAGTGACGATTACTTTGACTATCTTTGCTGATGCTCGTTTTTATAGAGGTTTCGAAAAAATATACTTTGAAATTTTAAATTCATGTTATGACCTGTACGATCATAAAGTTCTTATGAAAAAAATAGCTCTGATGTGTTTTCTATTACGGGAAAAGAATTAGCCCCATAGAGTAAAGATATTCAAATATTCTACATTACAGAAGAACATTGAGATATTAACCCATTGACGACGAAGCTGAAATTTAGTAAAATAGGCCTTTTCAATATTTATTGTGTTTCTGATATAGATGCCACTGGTAACAGCATTGTATCGTTAAATCAAATGTAAGCATAAGAATTATGATCGCCAATAATTTTCAAAGTATACCATGTTAAAAATAAGTTTTTCCTTTATTTATTCTAAAAATAAGTCTGCTTTCAAAGGGTTAAGAAGACTGCCCTTTCTGGATGTTAAGATCAAAATTTTTCGATTTTTGCTTTTTCATCGTTAACATAACTTCGAAATGTCCTCTGTCAAATGACATATAAATCAAAGTTCTTCATTGTTAGTTAGTACTTTTATTAAATCCAACTCTTGAAATCCCTAACAGAAAAACTCGCACTGCGATTATTCTTTGTATGCAAAATTCTCCTAATGACAAATAATTATTTCTCATTTCGCAGGTGTTGAGATCATTTTGATTATTTTAGTTAGAGAAAAAAAAGTCTTAATACATACAGGAAAATTTGTTTTTCGTTTTTCTTGAAACCAATTTTTACACAAAAAAAGTCCAGAATCGACTCCGTTCCTCCGACATAATATATTCGATCGAGCTAGAACTTTGTTTTGCAAATCAGTATTTTGATCTTTTTATTTGAACAAAAGAAGATAAAAAGAAACCAAAAGAAGTAAGCATTCCAAACAGTCTTTAGTATCCTTAAAAAAATTTCAGCACTATCAGACTTAATGCGAGTGAGAAAGCGGGACAGTTTTTAGACTTTGCGATCCAAATATTTTCAAAAAGGAAGTATTTGAAAATTTGGATTCTCTGACTATTTTTGCTTTACTCATCGAAATCTATCTATCCTGAAAGTTTCAAATATTTATGATGAGCTGTTCTTCAGAAATTCCACAAAGAAGAATGATCTCCTTAAGTCAATTTTTCCTATTTCTTCGCCATGTGAGACAAATATCGATTTGTTCTTTTCAATTTTAAGTTGTACGGACAATAATCATATGCAACTCTTTTTATTGAGATATTTTTCATTTATCTATAACAAAATTTCATTTACCAAAGAACATACTTTTCTAACTATTAATACATGAATTTTTAATAGTTTCATGACTGCATAATTTTTCTATAGTTCAAAATGGTCAAATTAAATCAATATTATAAAGTACAAAGATTTTTTTTATATATGACATTCATTTCAATTAAATCTCCGAAATAATTGTAGTATTTACGACTAGAATAAATACAAGGCAAACAGAATGAAGAACACGATACATCTTCTAATGATAACAAATAGTTACTATTCAAATAGTTTAAGTAAATGAAGACAAATCATTTCGAAAAATCTTTTATTCCTGTGACATATTACAAATAATGTATAACGAAATATTAACACGATTTATAAATCCCAATATCAAATACAGTTAATAAATGAGCTATACGGTTTAATTCTTCTAATATCATCCTTGACGGGCTATTCTATTGTAAACACATATTGTTAGTTACATGTATTGTGTACACACATTTCTTTGTTTGTCTCTCTCTCTGCCTATAAATATCAAAAAACATAGACGTCGTCGATTTGTCCGTCGGTTATTTGATTCGAAATCGATCTATGTCAATACTATACTAAGTAACTTTAATTGTCCTCCGCTTTCAACTATTGGTCAAAACGAGGTCACAATAGTGAAAACAAAAGAAAAGAGAATGAGAGAAAAAAAATGAGAGAAATATATTCATATAAAGGCGCGTTAAACTGTTCATTCGATTGTTATCTTAGTTAAGAGTAACTACTATTTCTATAGCATCATGTCACAATTACATGGTTCACAAGATCGTCATAATTTACCAGTTGGTCGTTTTCCACGACAACTTTTTGATTTCGAAAATTTTCTCGGTTCGTCAATGTCTAAATTTTTTTTTAATTAGAAAATCTTTTTTTTTTGTCTTAAAGGTCCATCACTTGATTTATTTGATCCATTCGATGAAATTGATTTAGCTTCACATCGAATGCAAAGTGCTCTTCAGTATATATCAAAAAAAAAAATAAAAACAAACGAATTTTTTTTTTCAAATTTCTATAGCAATTCGTTTTTCTTTTTTTGTTGTGCAGATGGTTACAAGATCCACCACGTCTTCAACGAGAACTTTGTCCAGTTACAGGTCATAAAAAACGATCTCATACGGATAAATTTCGTGTTACATTAGATGTAAATGGTTATAAACCAGAAGATTTAAGTGTTAAAGTTGTTGGTCGTAAATTATTTATTGATGGAAAACAAGAATTTCGTGATGGTATTAATAACAAACAAAGTTTTATAGAATTTTTATTTTTTTTTGTTTTAGCTGATGATTTTTCACTTAAGGAAATGCGTAAAACATATGATATACCTGAAAATGCTAGTTTTGAACATATGACATCATTTCTTACTGCAAAAGGTTTATATTTTCTTTTTTTTTTTTATTGAATATCATTTAAATATTTTTTATTTAGGTACATTGGTCGTTGAATTTCCATTAATTACACATAATAAAGAACGAGGTAAATGTTTAGTATAAATTCTAGTGAAAATAGTTTTTCGATTTTTTTTTCTTTGCATAGATGATCATCATCATCAATTACAACAATCTGGTTCTAATTTGAAAGAATTTAATTTTGATGAATTTTTTAAAAGTGCATTCGAACCTAAAATTACTGATGATACAGAAAAAGGAACAAAGAAAATTGATTTATCATTAGATATGACTGGTTTTCGACCAGATCAAATTCAAATTCATCTTAAAGATCGTGATTTAATTGTTCAAGTAAATATACAATTTGAATTTTTGTTTTTGTAAACTTATTATTCAATTAATTCTAGGGTGAATCAAGTGCATCAGATAAACATCATACAGCTCGTTCATATATTTATAAAGCTGTTACATTACCACCAGTAAGTTAATATTCTCATGAGTCGACAAGTGATTGAGTTCGATGATCGATTTTTTCTGATTATGACCGGTTTAGATCGAACTTATAGAACTCGATTCTAATAATGAAATGTCATTGTTTTTCTTTTTGTATTTGATTATTTCTAGAATATTGATGTTGAACATATGCGCTCGTTTCTTCATGATGGTAAACGACTTGTTATTACTGCTCCGTATCATGAAAATACTGCTACAATGAGCAATGGAAAAGCTGGTGCACTTGGTTGTGGTGATCATAGTAATAGTTCAATGAAAAATGTTAATACTAAAGATGATCTTAAATCACCTACATCGACATCACCAACAAGTTCAACATGTTCAATTGCTGGTTCGGTTAATTCAACAGTTGATAATACACATTAAATAAACTAAATTGAACTTATTATTTTTTTTTCTCTCTCTTTCGTTTGGAATTACATCTAGATTTTATCTGTTATCAATAGATTCATCAATAAACTCACTTTATCTCAATATAAAATTCTGTTTTTTAAATTCATATTTAAGTTTCGTATATTTATAGAAATGTTAACAATAGTAAAAATTTATTTAGACATGACTTTAGTTATTAGACTATAGCAGTAAGCAACACAAAGTAAGTCAATAAGATGTCATCATTAGTATTTATGATCTAAGATATACGCAATTATTTCTTTCTTGTTTTTCTTTTCATTCTGAACACTGCAAAGAACGACAGAAAAGAAAATGAGAAAGAAATAGTTGCGTATGTCTTAGGTCATAAGTACCTAGTGATGATGTCTTATTGAAGGTCGAAAGATTTTCTTCTTTGTATTTCTTTAATAAAAGAATGTCTGTTGTGGTTACTTTCCTTCATATAATTTATTAACTGCTTTTCAACAACCAACAATATATCAAAAGACAAGCTTTTAACAGTATATTTGGTGAATATGAAACGTCACGAAATTGATTTTTATTATAAACAAATTTTTAGTTATATAACTTTTTGTTTAAAGTTGAGAGAACTACGGTTGATATTTATTATGATATTTCACGGTAGAAAAATTTCTTGAAAATATTTGATATGATCTGTCCTGTAGAATTAATTTCTCGCTGTGCATCATAAATGGTGACAGTTATTTCGTGTCTGTCGTAATTTATGTGATGAGATTGATAAACTTTCTCTTTATTGAATGGAATTTATACTAACAATTGTATTTGACTCATTGAAAACAAGTTTAATTAATTCAATATTTAATTTTTCATCAAGAATTGCACAATATTTTGAAGTTTAAGAATATCTGTAAAAACTGCGAACATCCACGGACACCATCCAAGCTGTAAAGAAACAGCGAGTTCAAAAACGTGTACTATATGAATATGTATTGCAGACCGCGCTTTTTGTTCTCAACTGGAATGTAGTCTTTTTGTGGACACAGACATTCACAGTTATTTGAAGTGTTTTATTCAGTGTGTGAGGGCTGAAAGGGCGGTATTCCACTGAAAATCAGGTTGGTCCTTTCGGAGTTTATGATTCTTCTACCATGTACTGTGTATCTGTACTCTCAAAAATAAATGTTCGTCTTCTCAGAGTTTAATATTTACCCTCCGAAAGAAAAAAAACCTGTAAAAAAACACTGGTCACTTTGATTTCAATTGTAAAAGATGACAATAGCTACCTTAATGCTTTATTTGTAAAACATCTTATATAAGTAAAAACCAAAGTAACCATAGGCATTCGTGTCCACAAAAATAGTCTATATTCCAGTTGAAAACAAAAAGCACAGCTCAGAATAAGTTTCCTTAGAAATTCATTTTGAATTCGATCTTTTTTTGTTGCAGTTTTAGTAGTGTCCGCAATTTTAACAGATACACAAAGTTTAAAGGTAAAAGAATAGCTAATTTTCTTTTCATTATTATTCGTTGATTAAAATATTCTTGTGTTCTCAGTAGCAGAAGAAACGATCGAATAATCGTTTAATTTTTTTGTATTTTCATACTGAATGGTCTATATATCTATTTATTAATAAAGATACAAAAAAAAACATGCTAACTAAATAAAATAAACAAATAAATATTAAAAATCAACACATTTCCCTTTTCGTTCCCAATCACCATAACGTGTTGGTTCGGGTCCACGTGGTCCATTGACTTCACCGGTGACTGGATTTGTATTATTCGCCCATGGTTTTAATGGTTCTTTTTCGGCATCGGGATGTGTATATTCATCTAATTTACCCATAGGTGTTTTACTTTTTATTGATGATTTTTTTGAATCTTTATTAGTTGAAGTTTTTGTCGAATGTAAACGTAATGTTTGACATATGGTAAATGATCGTTGAATATAACCAGAATAAGATGAAATTGAATACAATCGATTAAACATATCTGAAACAAAGATATTTTTTAAATACGATCTTTATTGTTGGAGCCTTTTAATAAATGAAAAAAAAACAAAATTGAATTGTACAAGAAAAAATAAAGATTTTATTAATTTTGATTATGTTTGGAATGATCTTTTTCTGATGATGATCGAGTCCTATGATGTTTTTTTACTTTCGATTTTTCTTTATGACTATGTTTTTTCTTATGTTTATGTTTTGATTCTGATTCGGAAGTGGACGATGATGATGATGATGAATGTTGTCGTTTGCGTTCCTTTTTTTCTCTATATAGAATTAAAAAATAAAAATGAAAATAATTTTTGTTGAATAAAAAATACTTTTTTGATTTTAATGTTCGTTGTATTGTTTTCAAACCATGTTTCTTAACAAGATCAATAAGAAATCCATCTAATTCTTTTTCAGTCATCATATTTTGTTCGATTGTTTGTTTTACTGAAATAAATAAATAATTATTTAATGAAAAACAAAACACAAAAAACACGAACGTTCATCATCCTCTTCATCATCAATATCATCTATTAAATCATCTTCATCATTTTCTGACCATTCATGTTTTTCTTCGTCAGAACCAGTTGCTTTTAATTGTCTTCGTCGTCTTCGATCTTCTTTCCATTGATTATCATGTTTTTTATTTTTATGATGTTGTTTTAAATTATGTGAATCATTATGTATGGCTGGTGTCATTGGTTCATTTTTAATTGAACTTGATTGTGGTTCACGTTTACTTGATGATTTTTGTTGAGTTGGTGTAACAGCAGCTAAAAAGAATCAGTTCATATTAATTCAAAAAAAGAAATTAAAAAATGAAGACAAACGTGGTGGTGGTGGTGGCGGCGGCGGCGGTGGCATAACTTTCATGCCTAATGCGGTCATAAGTGCGTCTTCTTCAATTTTTTTTGCTGCACGAAATTCTGCTGATTTTATTTGTTGTTCATATTCACGATTTTTTGCATGCCTGAATTAATAATAAAAAAAAAACATTTCTGTTTTTATTAATAATTTATTTGTTTTTACAACTTTACCATGTTAAATCTTTACCCTCTTGCCGACGACCAATTGGTGCCATTACTGAATGTCCTGAATAACATTCTCGATCTTTATCCGACTTAACTGTATTCCGACTAAATAAATATCATAAATGAAACATAATATACAGTGGGTGCAAAAAGTTCCGCTACCAAGTGAAAAGTACCTAACCTTTAGTCTTTTAATCTTATAGTTCGACCACAAATACAGCATTTTGAACTCAGATTACAAGGATTAATCAGGACTTGATTGGTCTTCATATGAAGGAGCTAAAAGCTCAACATAGAAAACAAATCTCATGGCGTTAGACCCCTGATTCGACAGTTCACGAAGAAAGATTTCTAAGTGATGCATCATTTTTAAGTTGAGACTATATTCAATCGATAGAGTCTACTCAATCAGTAAACATCCTAGAGTGATTCGAACTGTTGAATCTTTGTTGTTGAGATATTGAATTTTTAGTGGCTTTTTCCTATAGAATTCCAAACTTCAAACAAAATCATATTTTTGAAGTTTAATCTGAGACTTTGCCCACATAAAGGACCCAATCAGACTAGCTTGTAGAAAAAAAAAATGTCACAATTCTTTGACAAAGCTTCTCTGAAATATAAATCTTTCAAACTATTCACATTTTTTTCAATAATCATGGTAACACGTCTATATTTTGAGAAATTCAAATATCCAAGAAACTTGGTCAAATAATTGTAAAAATTTTTCCTACAAGCTACTCTGATCAGGACCTTTATACAGACGAAGTTCCAGATCAAAATTCAAAAGTGTAATTTTACTTGAAAACTGGTGCCCCACAGAAAAAAAAATCTACTAAAAGTTCAATATCTCAGTAGCAAAGGTGCAACAGCTCGAAGCACTCGAGGATATTTACCTACTAACTAGTCTATATCGACTGAATATAGTCTCGACTTAAAGGCAATTTATCACTTGTAAGACTTTTCCTCGTCAGTACGAACAATAAAACTTCCATATCAAACAGTTTTAGTTTGCCTGATTTATGAAGTATTCTTTGGATAATCTTTACATGAGAGTTTATGGGAATGATCGAAAACTGACCAATATCTCTGATCAATTTTTAGCCATTTATCTTGAAATTTTTTCCGGTGAGTGCTATGCTCCAGTCAAGTTTCTCTTGAAAATTTCACGATCGCACTCATTAATTGAGAAGAGATCCATGCTAGGACTGTTCTAGATAATGGAGGTACAGCGAATTGGAGTATCCTATCTATAATACAATATAGACATAAGAATCTTTATTTTTTGTCAATAAGAAAATGGAGATTAACGCAGTTAAATAGTAGAAAACTAAAAAAGTGTCAAAAAAACCTTTTTTGAGTCCTAGAGTGAAAACTGATGTTTTCATCACAAATACGTTACATTAAACTCTATCAACTTCAAGTTCCTGCTTGCCGTTATAGTTTACCAAACTCTATTTGTAATCAAAACATTAGGCAAAAACATTGAAGTTTATGTAATTTTTACTCAGTATGAAGACTTTTTGAAACCATTGTAAGAAAAATTATTTTCATACTTAAATTGATCTTTTCCATTTTTTGTTCCAGCATTATTTGAACGTGATATTGACATCTAAAACGTACATATACACAAATAGTTTTATTTATATACATATGATAAAACAAAAACGAAGAAAAAAGAAAGATGAGAAAAAAAATGAATCATTTCGTTTCGTTTTGCTTTGTTAAGACGAACAAGCACATGAAGCAGCATGTTCAGCTGAATAAACAAATGCTTCCGTCGCTAATGCTGGATGTTGTTCAACTAATAAACGCCAATCATCACTTTCAGTTACTTCAAGTATATTACGCATAATAAAATTTAAAACACGTTTTTTTAATTCATTTGCATTATGTAAATCAGCAACTATATAAAGCATTGTACAATTTGATACAGATAATGAATTCATCATTATTAATTCAGCTTTTTGTTTTAAAAATTCTAATTCAT